AAAAAAAAAAAAAAAAAGAGTTTCAAAGGCAAGATGGCTCATGCCTTTAATCCTAGCACTATGGAAGGCTGAGGTGGGTAGACTGCTTGAGCTCAGGAGTTCCAGACCAGCCAGAGCAAGAATAAAACCCTCTGCTAAAAATAGAAAAACTATCCCGGTGTTTTGAGGAACACCTATAGTCTCAGCTGCGCAGGAGGCTGAGGCAAAAGGAGCTCTTGAGCCCCAAATTTGAGGTTGTTATGAGCTGTGATGCCACTGCACTCTACTGAGGGGTTTCCAGGTGTCCTTTGTCTGCTCCCCTCCTTCAGTAGCCAGGAGTGGGACGCGCTGGGTAGGTGGACTGTGTGCAGGGTTATGATGGCTCCATCATCCTACGATGGTGGTGGTCCACATGGTGACCTCACATTTGGGAGTCTTCTCTAATGTGTAGAATGAGAAACAACTGCCACAGTGCATGTAACTTCTGGGACCCAGCCACTGAGTATGGCTGAGATGGAACAGTCTTTGAGTGGAGACTCCCATTGGGATTGGTATCTAAACTCTTGGTTACCCAGATAGATGACTAGGAATTCCTTTCCTTACAGTAAAATTACTAAGTTAAGTAGGGAACCTAACGTCAGAATAGGCTAACAAACAGCCTAGGATGTATGGCAGTGAAGTCAGTTTCCTATATGTGCATGTGATTTGGACTGGCCTCACCACGCTAAGCCCTTCTAGCTTGGAGAGGCCCTTGCTTCTAAGATATTTACTTGACACGTGACTTAGACACCCAGGCTGCCGTCTTGAAGTTGGAAGAGGATGCTCAGACTAGGCTTCTCAAGATTGGGGCATTTTTGTCATGATTTGGTAGGAAAGTGCACCCACTTTTGAGGATCTTTGTCTTGAGGAAAAGCTCTGACCCAGCAGTACGTCAGGGAATGGTCTGTGAATTCTAGTGAGCTGGCTCCACTCCCACAGCCTTGAACCAGGTGGGCAAAGTGAGGTTCACTACAGTGTCAGTTCCTGAGCTCCAGTGAGCCTCCAGCCCCTCCAGCCTCTGACCATACAGCTGCAGCCAGTAGCCTGCTTCCATCATGTCAATTTAACGTGTCCTTTTCTCTCTCTTTTTTGAGACCATCTCACTTTGTCACCCCTGATAGAAAGCCATAGCATCTAGCTCACAGCAAATTTTTTTTTTTT